ACCAGATTTAATTAATTTGATTAATTAAATATTGGACGGGTTAAGTTTAACAGATGGGCCGAGCCCATTTGGACTTATATTAATAGGCTACTAGGGTTTGAAAATAGTATGAAATTTTTCATTATTCTTCATAGTACAAGAAAAGAAAACTCTAGCCGTCATTCTTGTTCTCTGTGTGGATCACCATTGGAGGCTGGACAATTGGACTGCTTGGATTGCAGATCGTGATCATTGGAGTTCAAGAAAAAGTAAAAAAGTTTGTGGAATTCATCAAAGGTATCATTCTCATCACAGTTTCTATCGAAACACATTTCCGCTGTGCATGTTAAGTAAATTCCCAACAGTGGTATCAGAGCCTACTTTGTGTTTGTTAGAAACAACACCACCAACAAGGTAAAAACATGTTTTTTGTTCTCCGATGAGAAACATGGAAAGAAATTGATCCATATTGTAGTTAAAAACATGTTTTTGTGAGGCAATTAATTGACTTCAGAAATAAAAGGTTAGAGTTCTGTGAACATAACTAGTCAAAGAAATAACGTTCATGCTACAACCCTTTATTCAAAATGTAAGACATGAAATTTTCTTAAGCACATTGGAAGCCAGGTGGGACTTTCTTCCCACAATTGTTAAGAAGAAGCCTAAGTGAGACAGGAATATTAAGGACGATTCCTAAGATATTAGCTTTAATGGCAGTGCAGAGGCAAACAGCTGCCTCGGCATCTACCAGTCCCTGAATGAGACTGCAGCATGGCTCTTTGGGAGGGGTACCAATGCGAATTCCAATCAACCAGTTCAGCAAATTGGCGCAAACACCAAGTTTCAAGGTGTCTTTCGGGCAAGTTTTGTTGTGTGCATTGACAAAGGCAAAGAATAGAAGGTTTAGTGAGACGAAGAGAACGACAGAGGCATTGTTCTTGGAAACCATTTTGCATAAACCCAGGTAATTTTTTAGCGAGAAAATGTTATATTAAAGAGATGTTGATGATGGAAATTTGTAGCAAAGCGGTGTGCATTATATGGAGCACGATATAATTAAGGCCATGCATCTGAGTATAGAAAGTAATTTAATAGTGTTTACTGTTTAGATAAAGAGAATTCTTGCACCACGAAGAGTTTTCCAATCCAACTTGATTTTTGCTTTCGATATCATCAGATTGTGATAATATTTTTAATGTATTAAATTTTGTCTTCTTAAAACATAATCCACGATCAGATTTTTCAGATATGATTGTGAAAATTTATTGGATTAGCACCAGAGTGTGTTAAGATTATGACGTTGTTATACTGTGTTCTTAATCTTGTAGATATGATTATCAAAACCAATTGGATTGGACCGAGATTGTGTAAAAATTATAATTTATTATACTTTGTGCTTTTAATCCATAATCAGATTTTCCAGATATGATTATCAAAATCAATTGGATTGGCACCAGATTGTGTTAAGATTATGAAGTTATTATACTTTGTGCTCATAATCCATAATCATATTTTTTGGGAAATGATTGTCAAAATCAATTGGATTGGCCCCAGATTGTGTTAAGATTATTAAGTTATTATACTTTGAAAAATTCCACTCAAACAGGGCCAATGACCGACCCAAAAACAGGGGGTTGAGGTTTCTTGCACTACAATTTCTTTCTTGAAGTTTCTTTATACAAATGAAATACTTAATAATTGCTTAAATTTGTGTAGAAAAATAAAAGTTCACCATGCATAATATTCTTTTAACAAAAAAGTTTTATATTTATAAATTAATCAAAATCTATTTTTAATTACACATTCCTAAAATTGAACGTTAGTAATTAGTATCAATGGTGTCTAACATCACTGTTTGGTACTCATATTTTTGTTTTTTATTTTTCTAATTTCTCCGATTTATACTGTCCTGATTTGCTAATTAGTGAGCTTCTTACCGGAAACATTTTAGAACCTTAAATATCCGCAATCTTGGAAAAAGTAAAATGAAAGCAAACTAAAAAATAACATTAATTTTGGCAATCTATAACTCTCTTTTTTAAGCTTCTCCAACAACAGATTCTGTCAACTTGACTATGAAGATGTTAATTTCTTTTGAACACACTAACATATCAACAAAATAAAAGTGAATTATATTTCATTGCTCACGTCGACTAGCACACAAGTAAGAACTGTCAACTGATTTTACACGAAGAAGTTTATTCGTTTTCAACACACAATATCACACCACCACTGTTACAAAGGAAACAAGACAAATTACCTTGTAACAATCTACGTATTAATCAAGCAAAGGAAAGGAGATTAAGGAAAACTCGAAAGTCGGCTAAGCACATATAAAGCCTTTAGGAACCTTCTTGGAGCAGACATTAAGAAGCAAGCTAAGGGAGAGAGGAATATCAAGGTGGATGCCTAAAATGTTGGCTTTAATGGCTGTGCAAAGGCAAACTGCGGCCTCAAGGTCAACAAGGCCTTCAATGAGGCTGCAGCATGGAGTTTTCGGTGGCGTACCAATGGTAATATTGAGGAGGCCATTAAGCAAATCAGCGCAAACCCCGAGTTTTAGGGAGTCTCTAGGACACTTGCCTTTGCTTGGTTTTGGTGGCTTTGGGGACCATGCATTGACCAAGGAAAAGAATAATAGGTTGATCAAAAGGAACAAAGCAATAGAGGTATTACTCTTTGAAGCCATTTTTGTGACTAAAATTTGTCTGATCAAGATAAAAGTGTTTCTTTTTCTGGGATGGAGAGTTTGTAGTAGGAATTAGCCTTTTATAGACTGCATGAATTATGATTCTTGTGAGTTGATGTTAATAGAATGAATAAAGAATATTCTGTCTCAAGTATTTAGCTGGCAGGATATTTCATATGTTTTGAAAAATCTGTTGTTACGTACCATTTCCCTCATTGAGCCTGCCTCCCAATTGGTATCAATATTTTTCTTTTCATCGTTATGATTTCAAATATAGTAGTTCGACGTCCTAACAAACTAAATAAAGATCCTGGGTTTGATTCTTGTGGTATCCTGTTTATGAAAATTATGCAACTATTTTCAAGCATTTCATGAAAAATGAAATCGATCTGCATATTACAGTGTCGAAAAGAATTTAAATTAATAAACTAACTCATTAATTATTCATGTACTCACTCACGTGAAAGGAAATTTTGCAGTATTATTTTATGTTACTATTTATGTATTTTTGACTAGTTTGTTAAGAGTCGGGGCATCATCTTGAAACCCGAATCTTGTAAAGAGAAGCAGCCTAAATACATATGTATTGCTTATTATTTTATATGTAACTGATATTTTTCCTCTTGAGTGTTTCTCACAAGGTGGTGGCTCATTTGAACATATAAATTTTGAAATACAATTACTTGTTAGACCTTTCAAAAAGTTTAAATTGCTGATACCAAATAGACTTGTGATTTCATCTGAAATAGTCCAGATCCTAATATATTATTAATATTTTTATATTTAATTGATATGAGATTTTCACTTCAAAATCACGGGTCTCTTTCATTTCTTTTGTTGATAATTAAGTTTTCAAAGTTTTATAAAAAATTAGTCCTAAACTGATTTCGATGTGCATGCTTAGGACAATTTTCTCTCTTAATTTCTTTGTCAAATGAATTTGACTTAAAATCCAAATTATATGTTAAATTTTTGGCACGATCGTCACCGAATCAATATAATCGGATTTGTTTGTGGCTAGATAATCTCCATTAAAAGTATAGTCCATATCAAAAAATGTGCTGAAAACCTAGGCATTGATATTATGCAAATGGTAATGTAGAATAAGCATTTTCCTTTATATAAAGCCAATATCTCATGCGGGATAAAAGTGTAATCCATAATTAATTTTCTTTTTTCTCTTAGCAAGAAGTATGACATTGAAAAATTTTATAATGTATGTGAAATTTATCCTTAATCCTGTAAGATGGTAGCTCGTTTGAGAATAACAATATTGAAAATTTGATGGCTCTTTTAACTCAGCTAATTAAATTACTTGTTTGAACATACGAACTTTGATACCATATAGTGACTAAACGTTCCTCTTAAAAAGCTATTATTAAGATAAAACACACCCTTATGTGTTTACTAAATATTTTATTTACAATCGATGTGAGATTCATCCTTATCAAAATGAAAGTAGTAGCACTGCTCATACAAGTATATATGCGTGGATATGCTAAAATAGATCAAACAAGAAATGAGAGGGTAAATTTCATTTGTGGTCACTACTTTGTCACCTACTATCTCCCAAATTGATAAAAATTATTTACTAGATTATCACCTACTTTGTCAAAAAATTGTTAAAATAAAAAGGCACATCTATTAAATTTTCAATCTAAAGACATTTTACTAAATTTTGTTTTAAAGCATTTTTATTTTTAGTATAATGCATAAAAATTATGTAAAAGATCAGTTACTGTATGTCACCAATTAAGTAATTTTCGTCAATTTGTGGATGTTAGGTGACTGCACATGACTACAGGGAGGTGAAATTTGAACCTAAATTGAAGCTCAGTGACTCAATTTAGACAAAAAGTTCAATGACCCAATTAAGATTTCGCTGAGGGTTCAATGATTGTGGACGAAATTAATCCAAAATGAGAGTATACAGTCGCGTGAATTGCAGATTAATTACAGATTGACATAAGTAGTTTTTTACAGTTCTTGTTGATGATAGTTTTCTTCATAAGAGTGATATTATCTCGATTACACATTTTCTGGTAGAGCATATCAGAAGGAGGAGAACAATATCACATGCCCTATGACAGTTGTAAAAGTTCTTCTTATTTTACATCTTCGTGTAGATCTAACTATATAAAACACGAATTAAACAAAAACCATTCATATTGGGGGCTTAAAAATTGATTAAAAAAAAAAGTTCAGTAGTTGCACTAATCGAAATCAATTCTAGTACCAACTGGACTTTCAATATTGCAATCTCATTTAATACACATTAGGTAATGAATTTTTGTCAGAGAACAAACAATGCAGAGAAACAAATTATGAATAATCAAGTCACTCTCTTGGATGAGAGTGTCACGGGCTATACAAAAACCTACCAAGGGCTCCACCTTAATTTGATGCAGATTTTCTGCTTGCTTTAGGCCAAATATCCTATGTCAAATGTTGTCTTTTGTATTGTAATGTTGGTCCATCTGTTCACACTAGGAATTCAATTGTTTCATTAGGTTCTGCTAATAATGTGGATTTATTTTGACTCCCACAACATCAAATACGCTGAAATTATCATCAAGTACTTTTTTTTTTCTTTTGACAGTAGAAGATCATTGTTGATAAACTTCACTCTTCATGCAGCCTAATCTCACATTGTGAAAAAAGAAAAGTGGTAGGATTATCAATAATGTATCAGTCCTCAAAAGAAGAGGAAGACAGAGGCAAAAAGAAAAAGGAAAGGAAAATATTAATCTCATACCAATAGCTATTTTCAGGAAGCGGTGCAACATATGCACAAGGATTTGTTAAGAAACGTGGGGTAAGCTGACGCTGGTAGTGTTATTAAAAAATACTAAAATAGTGGTAACCTTCTTGTTCGAACCATGTCAGGAACTAGTGGAATTTTATTTGAAACATCAAATATCGTAGTAACAAGTGTATTTTTCATACTTATCAAGAGCCTTGAATTTAATACATTTATTTGAAAATCGTTTGTATTGCTATTGATTTTTTTGTGGTTTTCATATGTATTCGACGAGTGTTTGATGAGAAATGAGGAAATGAGGTGGAAAGAGGAGCTTTATTGGAATAATGAAAAGTATATGCATAAATCATAAATGGAGATGATTTGAGCCAAAGAGATTCAACGAAGAGGCTAGAAGAAGGAAACTTAGGAGAGCACCACGAGATTATTAATGGATTTTCACATGAGTGTAATATATCATTAAAATGATCGTCAATTTTGGAGTATTCAATACGAAAAAGGGATTGCAAGTCTAAGCGTTAGGGGGAAAAACAGAATGGTGCTATTTTTCATGGGTAAAAAAGTTAAGCTATTGAAAAGGAGATTCAGTAGGTCGATCATTGTAAAGTTGCTGTGCAATATGAATAGGAATGGATGTGGAGTATAATAATATTGGAAATGTAATTAGGGTCAATAAAATTTTGCCAAGGAACATGAAGAGCCACATGTTATTTTAAAGAGAATTTTAAAATTATGTCCCTAATCTCTCCTTTATAAATATAGGATCCCTTTTCATTTGAAAAAGCACATATTTTCTGAAAGACCCTTGTGCACTTGTTGCACACTGAATAATAGAGAACTTGTCTTTAGTTAATTATTATAATTATTTTTTAAATATGTAAAAAATCATAAAAAGACAGTGAAATGCTTCCCTCGAAATGGGTCCTTCTCCGAAGTGAAAATTCTACGATAATGTTTACTTGAGAGGATTGTGTCGATTCTCTCGTTACTTTTGGTATTTTAATCTCTTGTTAACCCCTTTGCTTATTACTTGGCACTTGTGGAGAGCTAGATGTGCAGCTCAAATGGAGGAGGCTAAAATCTCTGCAAGATGTGATATTAGACAAGTTCAGGTGATGTCAAGCACTATTGCAAGCTCCTTCAAGATGTTCCGTAAAATTAAAGTACTTGACAAGGAGATTCTGGAAAGATTAAGAGTCACAATAGCTCCTATTTCTGTGGTAGTACCTTTGCTGGTGAGTTGGAAGAGACCAGGAAATGATACATTGAAACTGAATCTTGATGGGGGACTCAAAATGGGAACCCAGTTGCCTTAGGAGGAGGCAGACTGATTAGAGATAGTAGAGGTAGATTGATTTCTGGTTTTGCTCACTACTATGGCGTGACAACCAATACTATGGCAGAGTCTCGTGCTCTCAAGGTCGAATTGGCTATGTGCAAGGAACGGGGATTTATGGATTTGGGGGTGAAATCAGATTCTACGTTGGTGGTAAAATGGGCACAAAATGGACGATACACTTTATGGTATTTGTGGATTTATGGGAGGATATTTACGCTTTGATTGAAGCCACCCGTGCCAAGATAACACATATATACAGGGAAGGAAATATGGCAACAGATTATTAGGCAAAAACAAGAGCTACTGGTAACTCTTTCACCATCCTAGAAGGGGGCACGCTCCCCTTGGCCTTCGAGGAATTTTAAGGACCGACTCTTAGAGTCTACCGTATATTAGATGTAAATGATTTATCCCCTTATTTGTACCATGATATTCCTCCGTCAAAAGAGAATATTCTTAATAATAATTCTTTTACTGAAAAAAAAACCCCTAAATAAATCTGTAATTAGGTGGCATACACATTTTTAACATATAATTTATGCGATATGGACCATGGATATATATGTCATGCATTGAGTTTTGGAATGCTCCACAATGTATTGAAATAAGTACTTAATGATCACGTCTGGGTGGAAACTATCCTATATGATAATGTGGAATGGTTATATATGATCGATCTTTTTTGTGTGGATACCGTAGATGATCGATCAAGGTTATACATGATTGTCTATTCTTTGTGGAAGTTCATTATATTATTTGTCTATCCTTACAGGTACCGGCAGCTTCTCATCAACAAACAAATTAATAAATATTATTTGTCACTTTTTTGGAGCATTTGTAATTTTTTTTAAATTTATCTCTCTTTATTGAACCGATTTTAAGGTTTTAATTGTTGTTTTA